TCCTAGGTCCAAGTGATTCTCATGCCTTAGCCTCTCAAGTAACTGGGACTATAGGCGCACACCACTATGACCATCTAATTTTATATTTTTAGTAGAAGAGGGGTTTCGTCATGTTGCCAAGCTGGTCTCGAATTCCTGACCTCCAGTAAGCCACACACCTCAGCCTCCCAAAGTGTTGGGATTACAGGTGTAAGTCACCACACCCGACCTGTTTCAGGGATCTTAGATCCTCTTTGTTTCATCCTGGTTTTGGTAAGTTCTACAATTCACCAAAGGGAATAAAGAAGGCACATTTTTTGAGTGTATGTCTGAAAATATCATTATTCTACTATTGTTCTTAATAGAAACTATTTTATAGAATTCTAGTTTGGAAATTACAGTTTCTCAGAATTACGATATCACTGTTTTCCCGGTATCAGTATTGTTCCTCACATCAAAATGAAAGTTGAGGAAAAGGACCTTTTAAAGTTTTGTTCACTGTCTGACACATAGTAGGAACTCAATAAATATTTGCAGAATAAATCAATGCTGGGTAAGAAGTCATTCTAATTCATTGTATAAAATCTGGTTTCTCTTTTTGGAAGATTTTAGGATTTTAAGTTTCTGAAAAATTATGAAAATGTACCCTGATGTGTATATATGTTAATCCATTGTGCTGGGTTCTCAATAGACTCTTTTAATCTAAAAACTTACCTCTTTTAATTCTGGAAATTTTTGAATATTTTTATTGACAATTTCCTACCTTCAGCCTTATTTCTGGAATTCCTATTATTCATGATGATGAAACTCATAGGCAGACATTTTTTTTTTTTCTTATCTTTGTGCTTCTGTTTTCCTGTTTTTCAGCCCTGGTCTACTTTTTGGGAGGTTTGTTAACCTAATCTTTCACTAATGTGGATTTGTTTCCTGCATATGCAGCATTTGCATAAAATTTTTGAAGCACTCTTGTTTTCTGAGTTTTCTTTTTCTGTTTTAGTAACATCTTGTTTTTGTTTTATAAATGCAATTGTATATTCAAAATTCTCTAAGGATATTAGTAATATATTTTCCTCTGATTTTCTTCTCCCCATACTATCTTTGTCTTTCCAAATTGCTTTTTCTTTTTGTATTTACTTGTGTTAGGCTCTTTTATATTGATTTTTTTTTCCTCAATGTCTGATATCTAGGCTACTTGATGATTTTCAAAAGTATGGTATTTCTGAATGGAAGCTACATGCCTTTTGGTAGCACATGTAGACCATGATTTTTGCAGAAAGGAAATCTGGCTGGGCTGTTATACTAGGAATTCTTTGTTGTCCACAGCTTTAGGTCTTTTCTCTTGGGCTAGTCAGAGACACAGAGGAAAATACTTGCAATATGCCTGGAAGGCATAAGCCTGTGTGCTACCATTTGAGAATCAAGTGTCTTAGTTGGGAGAGGTCGATGATTTTCAAATTTCAGAATAAGCAATTATTTAATCTGTTTCTACCTTCAACTGTGCCTGATGTTTCCTCCCCTCCTCTAATCCAATCCAGGCAACATTGAATTTTACCTTCTCCAGAGGCTTAACAGTATCATACACTATCCTTCACTCTTACTTTTTTTTTTTTTTTCCTTGAAACAGGGTCTCATTCTATCACTCAGGCTGGAGTGCAGTGGTAAGATCATGATTCACCACAGCCTTGACCTCTGGGCTTAAGTGATCCTCCCGCCTCAGCCTCCCAGGTAGCTGGGACTACAGGCATGTGACACACCTGGCTAATATTTTTGTAGGAATGGTCTTTTGCCATGTTGCCAAGGCTAGTCTTGAACTCCTGGGCTCAGATGATCCACCTACCTTGAACTCCCAAAGTGATGGGATTATAAGTGTGAGCCACTGGGCTTGGCCACTCTTTCTTGTGGGGTTTGATACTAGATGGGGTAATTCCTAAACATTTTGGTGGTTATGTGATATAAATTAGATTGCTTCTCTGATTTCACACTCTCAGTTTATGACTTATTTTTTTTTCCTGGATGGCTAGACTGGATACCAATTGTCCTTCTGACTTTCTATTTTCTTTTCAAATTTTTGTCTTTGCCATTTTCTCCTCTTACTCTTGCTGTTCTGTGGGTTTATACCTTCTTGAAAAATACTGTTCTATTGTTTTAGCTAGGTTCTATGAGGGCACTGAGCTAGACATGTGCTCAATCTCCCATCTTTAATCAGAAGTTCCTCATGAATGGTTTAGTTTGCCCTATTTTGCCTGTTTTTGAAAACCATTTCTAGGAACACAGTTGGGCCTAAATAAATTCCTATACAAGAGTTATTAATGGTAATATTTTTACTTCTTTAGTGTAAATTCTAAGGAATTTTTTTTTTCTAAATTTTAACATTAAGTGGCTAAGGAGGGTAATTTGGCAGAATATGAGTTCTAACAGACAATTTTAATATGTTGTTTTCTAGTTGCCTATATGGTCAGTTAAATTTCTACCTCATTTTAATCCTATTTCCTCTTATCTGGTCTTTTGTAGACTCGGGAAAGATAAAATTGGTAAAAAATTTACAAACTCTACGAACATCAAAAAAGAAAAATGTCAGCCCAAAATGTCTATGCCAGTTAATCTCAATTCTAGTCCTCAGTACAGTAAAGACATAAAATGAAAGGGATTTGTACTAGTCTGTTCTCACATTGCTATAAGGAAATACCCAAGACTGGGTAATTTATTTAAAAAGAAGAGGTTTAACTGACTCACAGTTCCACATGGCTGGGGAGGCCTCGGGGAACTTATAGTCATGGCAGAAGGCTTCACAGGGTGGAAGGAGAGAGAATGAGTGCAAGCAGAGGAAATGGCAGATGCTAATAGAACCATCAGCTCTCCTAAGACTCACTCATTATCAGGAGAACAACATGGGGGAAACCTCTTCCATGGTACAATTACCTTCACCTAGTCCTGCCCTTGACACGTGAAGATTATTACAATTCAAAGTGAGATTGGGGTTGGGACACAGAGCCAAACCATATCAGGATTGTAAAGTACTTTTTTAGAGAAATTATCCAAAGATTATGTGCATAAAAGAGAAATAGAGAAACAAAACTTTAAGAGAGGAAATGAAACTAAAATGATACTAATATAAAATGAATACAATAAATGATGTGGACATTACTGTCCACTACTATTTAGTTGTAGTTTTTGGGTGGCAGTATGCGGGATTGAAATCCCCTGGTGGGTGGTTCTGATTAGTCAAACTCAATATAGCAATCCCATGTCAATGTCAGTGACTGATTGAGGCATCCAGTGTATAGAATTCCTCTGGCCACTGGTTTTGGTTCAAAACCAGGTTCATGAGATACAAATAATAGTTTGCTAGGATCTTCCAAGGATGATCTTAAGAGAAAACTACAGAAAAATACAGCTTCTGTAACTTCCTTTGAACACTGACATGTATGAATGAGAGGCCAAGAAATTCTGTAGGCTTAATGGCAAAGGAGTGAGATAAAGAGAAAAAAATCAAAAAATTATATAATCTTGCTACCAGTCTGGGGATGAAGCTATCCAATAAAAGAATAGCAATGTGAGAATCACAAAGAAAGAGAGCTATGGCTACCGAAACCTTGTCTTAAAGCCTGCCTGCTGGAGACCTGCATGCAAGTGAGCATATAAATTTATTGTTTAAACCTGTTTGAGGTAGAATTTCTATTCCTTGCAGTTGAAATCATTAATATAATAATAGAGACTTATTCAGTTACTAATATAAATATCTAATTGAATGATGGCTGGGTCTCAATGGTAGCAAAAAAGAGAAAAATTACACTGATTTTCACTGAAAGATATATAAAATACATTTAAAGGATTCTATACAACCTAGGAGACAACACTTTTTTTTCCTTTTTGTTTATTTATCAATTTATTTATTTTTGAGACAGAGTCAGTGCAGCATTGACCTCCCAGACTCAAGTGATCTTCCTACCTCTGCCTCTGGAGTAGCTGGGACCACAGGCACACACCACCACACTCAGCTAATTTTTTTGTTTTTCTTTTTTGTAGAGATGGGGTCATGTTATGTTGCCCAGGCTGGTCTTGAACTCCTGGGCTCAAGCAACCTTTCCTCCTAAAGTGCTGGGATTATAGGTGTGAGCCACCCCACCTAGCCAAGGCAACGCTTGAACAACAGCAAATGCAGAAACACATTTCTACAAATGCAAAAGAATTTTTTATGTCTCCATTTTGTTTGAAAACTCAAAAATCATTTCAGGCAGAGAATTCAATCTTAACTTTGTAAGTTGAATTCAACTATGCTATCTACAACAGTATTTCCTAATGTAAATTTACTGGCTTTTTGGGCAGAATAACTCTCCAATGTGGGATTGTCTCATTCACTGTACTTTTAAACCCAGCACTAAATGATTGTCCCTACCCCTGGTTATCACGACAAGGAAAATCCTGCCTCATTCACTTACCGTAAGGTAGTGCTACCAGCCCCAGTTATAAATCACTAATGTAGGGGAATAGATTCATAGTATATACTATGAGAATTTCACCTTTCAATATCATTTAAAAAATGTATATAAAAAGAGAACCAACGACTTTAAAGCCATATGGGTTATAAGTGAAAAGAAAATAGTACAGACAATAATTGCTCAAAGACTTCAGGATACTCTTTGCTGGAATAATGGAGAAAGGCTCCACTGTGGAGGTGAGAGTTGAGGGCTCCTTACCTGGTGATACAGAAAGCAGGAGGAACAGTCACCAGAGCTAGGGGGAAGAGACTATGCAAGACTGAGAAATGCAAAAGGCAAGTAAGAGGTGCAGTGGAATGTACATTGTACGGGGAATGGCTAATCTAAATGAGTAGTAGGGACTGAATGATAGGCTGAGCAGCAGACCACAGACTGAAGAATGTGAACCTTACTCTGCTGGTAATGGAGGGCTACTGATGATCTTGAGTACTAGTAGAATGATATAATAAACAATTTGTGGGGGAAGGAAGGGTTGAGTGAAGTATGAAAAGAAATATTTATATTAATGTATAAAATATATACCTGAAATGGCTTATCTGATTTTCTAAAAGGGAAGAAAGTCTCTCTTTTATCTCCTCAAATCTTTCTTTTTCTTCCACTGAAACAGTCCCAATTCCATCAGGCCTTAAAAAAGAAAAAAGAAGAATCAGTAATTTATATTGATAGAGCATTTACTTTTATATATTTTATACATTTATATATTTTTCAAAAAATCCAAATAATTAAGGAAAAGGCATATCAGTTCACTGTATACATATTAATTTTGTGGAAATTTACTGTAAATATTTGCAGCCATTTGCTTTATATTTTGACTTAGAATGAATGGAATGGAATTACTCTCTTTTAGACAGCCTTCAAGGTAAAAGATTACAATAAATATCTTCCAGATCTACCAAAAACAATGAGTAGTCCTTGAAAATGTCAGTGAAAAGTGATTTAAAGTAGTACCAAACATTTGACCAGCTAAGTGAAATCCCCTGAATGAAATTATTATTAAAAACTAGTGAATGTAAGGTAAAGTGTCTTAACTGCTTCTCTTCCAAATAATAATTCAGCTAACACAGAATTGGAGATTTAATTATTGTAAGAAATATAGAAATTTTGGATACATGTAGAAGTTCATTGCTCTCTTTTTGTTGGGTTAAATATGTGGGCATATGAACAAAAATAAATATTAGAATTAAAACATACAGGAAAGAAAGACAGCTTATTTCTTTTCAAGATTTTTTTGTTTAAATATTCCTGTAAAATCAATGTGAGTTTCATTAGAATTTTACAAAGTAGTTATAAAGACTGAAAAGAAATCTTATTTTACTAAGATTAGGATTAAAAATATAAAATATATCAAATAACAGAAATTTGGAATTTATTCTATATCAATTTAGATATCTGACTGAATAGCAATCATTGAAAATTTTGAATATATAAATCTTAACTGTCTGTTACTGCAGAGAAAAACATATGAATTTCATATTAATTTCAAAGCCTGTTTATATATCTTAGCAACAAAATAAGCCTTTTGCACTTGATAATTAACACCAATTATTTCCCACCTCTTTGTTTGTTTGTTTGTTTGTTTACTTATTTGAGAAGGAGTTTTGCTCTTGTTGCCCAGGCTGGAGTACAATGGCATGATCTCGGCTCACTGCTCTGCCTCCTGGGGTTCAAGCAATTCTCCTGCCTCAGTCTCCAAAGTAGCTGGGATTATAGGCGCCCACCAACGTACCCGGCTAATTTTTGTATTGTTTGTACAGATGGGGTTTCACCATATTCGTCAGGCTGGTCTGGAACTCCTGACCTCAGGTGATCAGCACGCCTTGGCCTCCCAAAGTACTAGGATTACATGGGTACTCTAAAGATATATTTTAATTCCCAAAGACTTGTGCATTGATCATTCTAATGTACTAATTTTAGTGGTTATGTATAAAATAGGTAGAAACAAGAATTATTGAAAACAAAGAAAAATGAATGCTTAAAATAACTTTCCTAATAAGATTTTTATTTGTTCCTTTTTATATATATACATATAGTCATATGCATGTGTGTGCATATGTTTGAAGCTTGTTAACTAGTCAATTAAGTTGAAAGCAATTAATTTTAAACTTATACCTGAATTATACTGACATAATGACCTTTCAGTCAAATCAAAGTATCATTTAAGTATGAGAGATTTTTTTCCAATATAGCGTACATAATTTTTACTTCAGGGACTCACATCATGCTGGAAATTCATGCTTTAAAAACATTCCTTACAATATTTTATTTCTAAAGAGGGAAACATTATTTACATTATTTAATTTCACATGCAGAATAATATATCATCACATTTATTCCATCTGAATGCATTTTGAATGTTAACTATGGAAAAAATAATGGCCAAATATTAGTCTTTCAAGTATTTTTAGGAAGGAGAAAAAGTCTAATGCATAAATTATAAGGCAGTGAACTATGAGCTAATCCTAATGTTTTATATTAATTTAATAATGTATTTTTCATATATTACTTTAAAATCAATTTCCATTGAGCGAATGTTAATACAAAACACAGACTGTAACCTATGAATAAGCATTGACAATAATTACAAAAGTTCAACTGGAAAATTCTCTATAAACCATTAATTTGGGAATTTGGGTATTCAGATAAAAACTATACCTAAACTACATTATTCTGTAGACAGCAATAAAAACTCATACCATAAAGTTATGAGTGATTATTTCACTGAATCTATCTATGCAAACTTGATAAAAAGAGCAAATAACTTATCTTTATTATTCTGCTGATTGATATAATCCTTTGGCTTAGCTACCTGGCAGACACTATATGATTAAATATGAGTAAACTTTGCTATTTGGTTCAACTGTCAAATGAGGTTGTCATCTTCAGTGATTGTAAGTTGTCCTATCATATTAGACTTCACTGTGGCATACTGCCTGCTCTACAGAATGGAGCCAGGGGGTCAGGTGATGACAAGTGAGAAAGGTAAGTCAGGGGAAGCCCACTTGTGTCAACCTTCACTAAGAAAAGGCTGTCATATAGAGTGAAGGACCACCATTTTACTGAATTTATCACTACATCAGGTACAAATCTGACAGGTTAAATACCATGTTTAGCAATTTGGACTTGCCTTTATTTACACATCCTTATTTTAGTATATATATCAAACTAAGTACTGAAGAGTAGGCACATGAAGCAGCCTTCTATATCTAAATTATTGGTAACAAATGCTAACTTTGCAGTAGTCAAGTCTAAAGGCAAGAGCTCCTCCTACAATAATTCTTCCCAATAAATGCAATACTTCCCATGTCATCAACATCTTGTCACTGTAATTATTAAAATAAACATAATGATTAGCACTTAGAGAATTTTAAAGGTGTTTCTGGTATTTTGCACTGATTATTTTACATGCAGAATAACACATCAAGTTCACAGCAATCCTGTCTCCTTTCCAAAAGAGAAGGCTGCTGAGGCTCAGAGAGGTTAGGTTAATTCCCCAAGGTCACACAGCTGGGAAATGCAGGAGCCTGGACTTGAACCTAGCTCTTGCCCTTCAAAGATGATGCTCTTATCCTTACTTTCCTTCTGCTATATTTTGACGGAAAAAAATAAGAAGCAATAGAAACCCAATTAAACCATGAAAACTATACAGTATTTGAAAATCAATAATGGAGTATTTTGAATATCCTTACTTACATTAGACATTTTCCACCTGACTTGTCTAAGGTGGAGACCTTAAAAACCAATGAAATTTAAGATAAAATGCTTACCATTGAATCAGCAAGGCAGGTAAAGAAGGCCCTAAGAAAGGAAGTCCTAAAACTTGCTATTTCGTACATTATAAAGTATGTTTTCACAAAAGCCTTGAGAGAATTTTTATTTATTTATTTATTTTTTGAGACAGAGTCTTGCTCTGTTGCCCAGGCTGGAGTGCTGGGGTGTGGTCTTGGCTCACTGCAACCTCTGCCTCAGCCTCCAAGTAGCTAGGATTACAGGCACTTGCCACCATGCGCAGCTAATTTTTTGTATTTTTAGGAGAGACGGGATTTCACCATGTTGGCCAGGCTAGTCTCGAACTCCTGACCTCATGACCCACCTGCCTTGGCCTCCCAAAGCACTGGGATTACAGGCATGAGCCACCACGCCCTGCCAGAGAGAAATTTAAACCAGTTGTATTTTATGAATGTTTGGTAGACCCAGAGTAATCAAGATTTAAAAATTATCGTTTCTATGAGCTCAGTTTAGAAATTCATTTCTGCCAGCTCTAACTTCAAAACACACCCAGAACCTGACCTTCCTCCACCATATCTACCACTGATCCGCTGATCCCACACACCATCAGCTTATCCCTGAGTACGTAGGCAGCCTCCTTGCTCTTTCCCAGTGCTTTCTTTGTCAAATAACTGGTCACACACTATTCTGAGCCTCTTCAAGCATGAGTCATTATTACAGTATTCCTTGACTCAAAATCCTGTAATGGTGGCACACAAGGTAAAAGCCAAAGCCTTTACAATGGTCCACATGACCTATGAGGCCTGCTTCCCACAATCTGACCTTATCTACCCCATGACTTGCCCTGTTCCCCTTCTCTCAAGCCATGCTGGCCTCCTAGCTAGTCCTCAAACACACGAAGCAAGCTCCAGCCCGAAGGCCTTTGCAAGTGCTGCTGCTTCTGCCTGAGAGCACTTTCTCTAGGTGTACACAAACACACATATGTGCGCACAAGCACACCAGGCTTGCTCACTTCCTTTCTTCTGGTCTCTACTTACATGACTTGGGATTAGTGAGGTCATCTCTAACCATCTTATATGAAGGTGTATTTCCCATTCCCATAGACCTTTTTCTTAATATACTTTATTGATGGCCACTGTGCATATGGCTGCCATCTAACATGATATTTTTACCTATTTGTTTACTGTCTGCTTTCTTTGTGATGTATCTCTAGTGCTAGAACACCAGCTGGCATATTGTTTATATTTAATGCATATATGCTGAGGAAAAAAATGAGTGATATATAATATAAATATTACTTAAGATGATAAGAATTCATGAATTAGTAATATGACAAATTATTACTGCTTATTAGGATTAACAGTGTATAAATTATTTGGAACATTTTCATATTTAATTTAATTAATGAATTAATTTTGAGATGGAGTCAACCTCTGTCACCCAGGCTGGAGTGCAGTAGCACAATTTCAGCTCACTGCAACCTGTCTCCCAGGTTCAACCTGTCTCCCTGCCTCAGCCTCCCGAGTAGCTGGGATTACAGAAGTGTGCCACCACACCTGGCTAATTTCACATTTTTAGTAGAGACGAGGTTTCATCAAGTTGGCCAAGCTGATCTTGAAGTCCTGGCCTCAGGTGATCCACCCACCTCAGCCTCCTAAAGTGCTGGGATTACAGGCGTGAGCCACCATGCCCGGCTTGGAATCTTTTACTATATGATAGTTGGCAAAACAGAAAATTTGTGAAAAGCAAACAGAAGCAGGAACTGTAGTTAAGTACACTGGGTAAAGAGAGCTCTAATTAAAGTTAGCATGTATTTACACTTAGCAGAAAAATCTTTGTGCTTAGTTCTACTTTAATAGTAAAATAATTTACTTTAAATCTCAAGAATAGAACGTTTC